GCAGATGTCTTCTTAATTCTGTATCACTTTTAACTCACAGCGATTTTCTACTTTTTCATTTTTTTTTAACTAAGCAGTTGTCTTCTCAATTCTGTGTCACTCTTTTTAACTCACAGCGATTTACCATATTCTTTTAAACATTTATTTATATAATCTAACCCTTTCACGGCGTTCACATAAAAACATTGAGGATAATGTAATGTGTGTTGCATCCACAGATCATCGTAAATCTTCCAATCTCTAATAACTCCTCCACAGGAAAAACAAGCAGCTGTATCATTATGCTATTGCCAAAATAAAATAATCCCGCATCAGCCATTTCATTCACCACTGCTTCTCTTAAATCACTCGTTGCCCAATAATGGCTAAATGAAAATAAGCGTGTTTTATATGAATCATATAAACTATATCGGGGTCTGTATTCGTTTTGAGACATGTCCCTCATGATTTGTGGAGGTTTGATCTTGCTGGTTGCAAGAGTATATAAGAGTATGAAGCTGCAAAGCTGCGCTGATTCCTTATAAACATTTTAAAAAAGTTGCTGGTGGACAGTTTTTTTATGAAATAAAATAAAGAATATTTCAAATGTTATTATCAGAGCACCATTTATTTAAACAAAAAACATTTTTCAAAGCACATACTGAGTCATGATTAATACAACTATACAAATCTTTACAATCTTTATATCGATCATACAGATTTAACAAACTAGGACAGCCTTTATCTTCTAAATAAATTATAGTATCATTTTGTAAGATGGATTTTAACCATAAAACTTTTTCTAAACATTTGACGTATATACATTTATCCTTTATATTATCTGCAATCAAATTCTTATAATTTAAATAAGGTATTACTCCGTCACACCAACATATCTTTCTATTAAGTTGAATCCAATTTACATGTTTCTTTTCTTTTACAGTCAATTTGTAAAAAGGAAATGGTGGTTTAATTAAAAGTCGTTGTATTTTATTATTACACAATATTGCAATTTCTTTCACTATGAATTCATTTCTTTCTGTTTTGAAACCTTGGACATCTACGATAGCAGTCATGTCAACTTGCGCACTATGTTACTTAAAGGCTTATATTCCACAAGTTGATCGTTAATGATTAAACAATATCCAGTTGTCTTCTCTGGTATTGCCGTTGTACATTCAATCTCCAAACGAACATCTACGGGTCCCGTTTTTAGACTGTCGTTTTGTCTTGAACAATCTATCACAAATAGTGGAGCCTTCTCCTTAAAGCTACTTAAATCAAGCAATGGGTCTGCGGGACAGTTGTAGTACGACTGGCGAAATTTCACATTTCGTATAATATATTAAACTTGTTTTCGGAAAACTTTAAACATAAGGACTCGTATGGGTAATATTGTGAATTCAAAAACAATGTCACATTTCTCACTCCACAGTGATCAAATACTGAACAGTCTTTCATTTTTTGATTTTTTCTGTTTGCTTGTAAAAAAAATTACATATCGAGGTTTCTCTAATTGTGACGCAGTCTTAATAGACCAGGAATGCTTCGTTGCTGTAGGAAGTAAAGGGTATTCATATAAATCCCAATTTCTAAATGCCATCTGTATAGGTTTATCTCTTTCTAAATGTTTAAGAAGTTTCAGTCGTTCACGATCTGATACTTTCACATGTGACACTCGCCATTGTATTCTTTGTATGTCTATTTGAAAATGTGCAACATCTTCAGTTCCTTACTTACTTACTTATCTTCACGCACAATCCCTGACGGGGTAGCCAGAGAGAACAGATCGCCAAGTGTCACGATCCTTACAAACCTCTTTCGCTTCTTTCAGATTCATTATCTTCTTCATGCATGCACGTCTTGGTATCCGAGTACTCTTGACCCTACCCTCTTCGAGCAATTTGCTCACATGGTCTTCGAAAGTTAGTCTCGGTCTACCTCGACACCTTTTAATATTAACTTTCGCGCTATATATTTTCTTCACCATTCGGTCTTCACTCATTCGCTCAACGTGCCCAAACCACCGAAGCACGCCCTTATCAATTTTTGTGATAAGGTCATCTTTCAAACCTGCCATATTGCGAATCTCTTCGTTTCGCTTTCGGTCGGCCATGGTAACGCCGCATATTTTACGAAGAGATCGCATCTCCACTGCATTCAACTTACTTTTCTGCTTCTTCTGGCATACCCAGGTTTCGCTGCCATATAACAAAGTCGGTACCAACACTGCGTTATGTATTGCAAGGCGTGCACTCTTCGCTATTATCTTCAGTTCCTATAATACTATTTATGTTAGACTTACTTCTGTTCAGTATAAGTTCATGTTTACAATTTATTACAATTTTAGCATAATATTCTGCAAACCCTAAAATCTTATTTAAAGGTACAGTAGCACTAAAATCACCGTTTTCACTTTTAAATTCATCCATATCCCAACCCCACAAAGCTGCTACTTTATTTTCTGCTTCATTCATTGAAATGTATGATTTAATTGTTGACGTTATACCAGCATTTTTAATACGATCTATTTCGATTCCATTTATCTCATACCTTATGTCTTGAAACAAGAACATAATAGGATTATTACAGAACGTAACAGGTTTTTTAATCTGTTTTAGAACTTTGCTGAAGAGCTTTGCACGACCTTCGATGTAAATTGAACTGGCTGATGGTAATACATATATGTCTTGCTGATGTATAGGAATTCTTATTTCATCGTTTTCTCTAAAGCTATTATTATATGGATTATAAGAATGGACTTCATAACTTTCAATAGAAGTATCGAAGTTTGGTAAGTCATTAATCAGTAGTATATTCATACTTTAAATCCTAAGGACTTTAGAAAATCTTTATTAATTTTACTCAAGGTCTTAAATTTTTTTCTCACGTCTTCGCACCTTAGTGAATGTAGAAGTAATAGGGCGCTTTAGGTAGACTGTAGGGTTTTTATATTGCAATATCATTTTACTTTCCTCAAATGGAGGCGAATTTCAATATATTGTTCTTTGAAATTAATTCTGTAGCCAAATTGATCTAAAACTTTAATAGTTGTAGATGTAATTATATTTTTATTCATTGGGAAGTAAATAACGTTCTGAGGTATTTCTATGTTTTGATTATCTGCAGCAGTTTTAGATACAAATTCGTGAATAATATGAGTAGGTAACCCGTTTCAATATGAGCCGTATATGAGATCACATTCGATTCTGATCACAGATGGGAACTTGCTATCAACATAAGAATATTTTGTTGTTGAGTTTATTACTGAAAAATATAGTAAATCGCACTCGTATTGACCTGATAAACTCAGAGGCGGTTGAAAGTAGGAATCCAATTCTGATTTATTTCCTGAGATAGTAACTGTTATAGACATGCTTGTATACTGAGCAATTTATGAAGTTCTTGTTTATTTTATGTCTTGATTGCGCCAAAAATTCTCCAAAAAAAATCAAACAAAGATGTCCACAATTAAAAGGATGACCACGCTGTATGTTACCATAATAAAAGTGGACTTTAGGACATAAATATTTTATCAATTCCATTGGAGGTTTAAGATTTCCATAACTGTCGAAATATTCAACATAATTATTAAATTTTACATAGGCTACCCAATGAGATCCCGGATTTGAGGAAATATCTAAATTTGTAACTCCAGATTATTTTTTAAAAGGGAATATTTTTCCATATTTTAAAATGTCAATGTTAGTTAAGGCGCGTTTGGGTAGCCTATATTCTAGTTTTTTATTTCTTTAGATACAAAAATGCCAAATCCATTTTTATGAGGCTTAAACTGTAACCCATTTCCGATACAAAGAGCTTCCATTTTTTCATTGTGTCTCTTCAATTCAGCAAATTGTTTTTTAGCCATTTTGATTTCATTTATAGTTTTAAGTATACCAGCTACACCACCTGTTAAGGCTCCCGTGGCCGATAATCTGGCAAAAATCGGAATCAAAGATAGTACCCCACCAGTTTTTGGTATAGGAATAATGCGAGGAAGTTTTATAACAGAATTATCAACTAGTTCTTTAGCAGCAGCTATAGCTGCTGCTTTCTTGCAATTTTGTTTTAATTTTTGCATACGTCTTTTCGTTTTTGTAATGATATTCTTAAACCTATTTTTAAATTCATTCCCCAACTTTCTCGGAGACATTTTATTACTATTGCCATTATTTAGGCCAGCCCCAGTTTTAATTTTTGATTTCATAGCTTTGCTTACTATCTTTGCTGCTAACTTTTCTCCCAAATTTGCATCGGGAGCAATCTCTCGTGTTTTTACCATTTTTAACAAAACTAAATCCACCTTATGTCGGTCCTTTAAGTTTGAATATTTGTGATACGCCATGTAGTGATCTTTACAATATTCGTCTAATTTGTTTATACCTTTGACTCCACGTGATAGTTTTTTGATTAAATTTGTACCAGGACCACAATAATTGTATCCCGGTAAATGTAATTCAAATGGTAAATTATTAATCAACCAATTGAGAAGACTACTCTCACCAATGCACATCATAAGACTGTTTAATCGCACTTGGGATATTTATTAAATATACCATTTTTTCTTATTTGTTCTTAATGTTAAACACAGTCGTCAGTAAGTCTATTATATTTGACTTATCGATCCAACTGTTTTCACTAGAAGACAAACCTAGCCATTTTACTAAAACTTTATTTCCTTTCTTTCATAAAACTTTTTCGACTAAATATATGTTTGGATTTTTGGTCTTTTGTAGCTCTTGCGCATAAAATCCTCCTTAAATTGGTTGACCTCTAATTGTATCTTCAATTAAGTAAGTGGTTTGAATTGTGTTCTGTAATTTTCGAATTGTAAATATTTCTGTCGACCAATTTGGAGTATATCCTTTTTCGAATGTACTTTTGTATTTGCTTATACGCACATAATCACCTACTTTAAACTTACGTTTTACATTATCTTTCTTTACAAATCTAAGGTATCTCTGTAGTATTCGTTTTTTACTTTTATTATTAACATTGGCTGGAATTTCACCAATAGTTCAATGATAAGTGTGATTGTATTCGTAAATAACATTATTAAGAGTATCGCCTATCCAGTTATAATTACCCTGTAAATTAAATGCTTTATACAATTTAGATTTCAAAGTTCGAATAAATCGTTCAACTATGGAAGCCTTCTTTGTTGAAAAGGTTGAGAAATGATTAATATTATAAGAATTCATAATTTTTTTAAACTTATCATTATAAAATTTTTTTCCATTGTCGGTTTGCAGATTTTTGGGTACACGTGTTTTTAGGAGCTTCATAAAATTATAGCATACGTCCTCTTTACTTTTAGTCTTAATTGGAAAAGCCCAAGCGTATTTCGAAAATGTATCAATAACGGTAAGAATAAATCTGAAGTTTTTGTTTTCCTTAGAAACTGATTGCATATCAATTAAGTCTGCTTGCCATAAATCATCTATATCTTTCGTAATAACATTTCTACGTGGGAAATTCACCCTAGCATTTCTATGAATTTCATTTACTACATCGGCTTTACTCATGTTCAAAAATAATGTATTTTATTTTATTCTTATGTTGGTAGTTATTAAGAATAATTCGTTTATGCTGCTTGTTACTTAAATAAATAATGACAATTTTTTTAGTAATTTGCAACACGAGCAACTTCACTAATACTGAGTAAAAGCTAGTAATAATTAGTATTTTATTCCTTTATAATGTTAGCTTCTTTTAATTCTTCAATGATCGATAAAATTTCATTATCATGATTTGTATTGCCCGCATCTCTTGAAGCTGTTAAAAGTTTTAATATATCAACTAATTCATTTGGATCGTCCCAATATACAATATCAGTGTTGATTTTATATTTCTTAAGCTTAGGCAAATTACCTCCAAGCTTTTCTTCGATTTTTTTATATTTGATTAAGATCTCGGAAAATAATGGTTTAATTATTTTTCGATATTTAATTCCCTTATCACCTCTTATTTGACCTCTTGGGTTAAAATCTCTCTTATGAGCGTTAGTATGGTGTAGAATATCTTTGTACACGAGTTTATCAGCGCTTGATATTAATTCAAATCAAGTTTTTTTCTAAGTATTTTTTTTTATAGGATAAGGGTGACAAACGAGCACACAGTCCACCTGATGGTAAGTGGTTGCTGTGGCCCATAGACATCTACATCTATCCTCTATCACAAATCAATATGTAGATGCGTTGTCACCCGTGAGGACTAAGATCATTTCCAGTAAAAAGGGCCTCCGGCCACCTGCACTCACCAAGCGAAACGCAGAGGTAAAGCCCTACTTCACGCTGGTTTTCTGTGAGGTCGTGGTACCACCCCGGTTCGAGCCGGCCCATCCGTGCGACAGCAAAAGCTGTCGCGTGGCTCTACCACTGTTAAAAAAAGTAAAGTAGAAGTTCCCTTATTCCGATAGTTAAATTGTAAGATTTGTCTCCAATTTTTACTAAAAATACAGTTTCGTTATCCAAACTGTCAATTTTAGAAAAAGTAACTTCTGAATTTCCTATCATGTGTGTAAGTTTTCTTTTCTTTTCTTATCCCAAATGGTATATTTAATTTATCATCGTTAATATCATAGATATAATTCCGATCTAATGAAGCCTCTAAATTGTCTTTAATTTCATGTTTTGGAGATTCTGCAGAACTCAAGTCAGCATCGTAATAGTTCTGAAATTCCGATTCAAATTATCCAGCAGAACTTGCGCATGATTGCATCAATAAATTATGGTCTTGATTTGGTTTTTGCTTATTTACTATGATTTTAAGGGGCTCTGTAACAGGTTTTAGCATTTTATCTAGGGATAAGTTCAGTTCATGCTCATTATTTTTCATTTTTTTTATTTTATTCTTTATGGAGTCCACAGATTTCATTAATTCCATTTTAATTTGCTTTTCCACAATGCTTTATAATACTTCATTCTATCGCTGCTACAATAAAACTAAATAGTTTTATCTAAAAAACCCGTTTATAATAGTTTACTCTAGGTAAAAAAAAATATCAAAATTATTTCTATACCTGCCATTGTTTAACGGTGAGTCTTTGTTAATACAAACAAAATTATACGGCTTGCTCCAAACCACATTACAAATATTTTTAAATTGATTCCATGACATATCAGAACTAACATGTTCTTCATAAATATGTTTTCGTGTTAGGTCTGATATAAATAAAAGCAATCGATTTGCTTGTGCCTACGCATAGAAAAATAATTACGAATGTTGATTTGATTTTCACAAGCAACATCATCAAAAATAAATACAGAATTGTTTAAAGCTTCACTTGGAGCTATAACGTCTTTGTTATTATAGAACTCATAAAATGAAATATTAGGCACTCTCTTAATTACTTCTCGTAAAAAACGATATTTTGGTTGATATTTAGTTTTTGAATACAAGTAAGGATTTTGAAATTTAAGCCCATTTTCATGCAACAACAAACTTATTACAACGTTTGTTTTACCGCAATTAGAGGTACCGCATATTATACAGCGAATGGTATTTGGTAAGAGAATGCTATGTCTGATCTTGTGAGCAGAGTGATCAATATTAATATTGCTAACGCTTAGCGATATGGGTTGTTTGATCAACTTCATCGTGGTTATTGAATGAGTTACTAACCTACAAACATAGGTATATATTTGAATTTTGCATGAACAATATTAGAGAGAAATGCATGTCACATCATGTCTGTTCTCCTATTCTCGTGTTACAAATTTCTTAGTAGATCTATGCTTACTTTGTAAAATAATGCTATTCTGATCTTACAAATCCTGAGTATATTATACAATTCTCATCTTACAACGCATGATCACGTCTTTGTATATACAGTACTTTGTATAAAGAGCACGTTTGTTTCTTTAGCTGAAATTTGGAGTAAGTACTTTAAATGAAATATTTAAATAATAAAGTAACTTATTCTATTTTCTATTGTAATTCTAACTCTTATAAATGTAATAAAATATGTAACTTATACGCATTTTTGTTTTTCAGAAACATGTCACGTACACCATCTTACAGTCCTGTTTTATATAACTTAGAAAATATACGTGAGGTAAGTTAATATTTAGTTTTTATTATTTTTAATTGATTTTAAATTCATGGGTAGTAATTTTATATCTGCCTTTCAGAATTTGATAGAAAACTCAAACCCAATTACCAATCCATTTTACTATGCTCAAGATAGGCAAGGCTGGTACGATGAAGTGGCGACAAAAACTTACGAGCAGAGCCGTCGCCAAAAATCGGAGGAAAAAATAAAAAAGAAAAAAATCAAATCCAATTCTTTGTAAAATACATCATTTATCATGCGAAAGGAAACGGGTAATGTATGTCGTTTAATAAAAATTAAAATACATGATTTAGATGTTCGTAATATCGATGAAATAAATACTGAATCTGGAAATGCAGCTGTGAACGTGCAATATCTAGTGACAAGTGCATATGATGACATCATGGATGAGACAGAACATTTAGTTTGTGAAGTGGTAAAAAAACTAAGCAAATCTAGTATTTAAGTTTGAAATCAATTAATAAAATTTATGTAAATAAAATGTCTATAAATAAATGATTAATTTTTTTCGACATGTATAACTCTGTTGTAAAAGTTAAGTGTATTTAAATCTATTGTTTTTGTGTAATATTTAGTATTTAAGGATCTAATGGGATGATAAATAAAACAAAATATGATTATGATAATACAGTATTTTTATTTCAACTGACATATAAAGGTTTTTATATTTTAGCTAGAGTTATAATAACGATATACTAGTTACAATATAGAACATATTTGCAGTAAAGAATATTCAAAATAAAGTAATTTGTTTTTCATTTGCATATTATGTTTATGTTTATATTTTTTTTATATTTTTTCTCTACAGTTTTTCCAAAAATTGAATTGTTTTGTTTTTTAAAAAAGTCTCTTTCAAAATCAGATGTAGCATTTTGTCTTAAAGATGTATTTAGGGAAATATATGGCTCTAAAAATGCTTTTTGATTGAAAGTTAAAATCTTATGAATTTTCAATAAAACAAGTCCGTTTCTTAGGCATTCTTGTAAATGACGGTAATCGATAACATATTTATATTTATCATAGAGATTTGCAACCAATTTCTTATTACTAATATAATGAACCGTTAACTTTTCTGCTGCAAACGGTAAGTCAGAATGTTCATCATGAATATTGCGTGGATATTGCATGTCAACTTCGAGTATATATCCTTAATTTCTATTAGAACTAATAGATTTAATATCAAAACTTCTTAATTCTTTTTGTTTTAAAAACCGAAAATTTTTATAAGATAGTTGCTGCATCTTAGCATAACCATACAAATTTACACAATCTAAATAAACTAAGAAAGAATTTGGATCTTCTTCATTAAAATTTGGTAAGTATTTGTTATTAGCTTTTGCATAGCTTAACGAGCATTGAGATAGCCCTCCTCTTATACCATTTTCTAAAAATTGATAAATTTGTATATCAGTAATTAAATCCAACTCAATACTTGTCAACAATAGCATAGCATCCCAACTTAGTGAAGGTGATGAAACATAATGACAAGGATCGAGACCATAATAATTCAAACTCATGGATCTAACTTTCTCAAAAACGTCGCAAAGTAGTAAGATATCGCATTTCAGATATAACTCGGTATATTCACCTAAGTTTTTAATACCAAAATTTTGCCACACAGTTAAAGCATGATTATAATCTTCGCTTGTTATAGATTCTTATGTTAATTTATTGTAAAATTTTGATTGCTCTGGTAACTGAGTTTCTTTATACTTTTCCCAAGAATGTACATAGTCATAGCAATGTATACCCTTCCTAAGACATAATCGGAATAAATTTTCATCTGGAAAGAATGTTCGCAAATGTTTTAAGTCTTCAGGATTTAGAGTTTGTGCTAAATGATCTAAACTTGAACTCAGGAAATTAAAGAAGTCTATAAATTTTAATTGCGCTGACTTCTGCATATCGATTGGAAAAAAACTTTGTAAAAGAAATAAATTTCTCTTTGTTTTTTTGGAATTAAATTTATACGACCGTATACACCTGCAAGTTCGTTTATAAATAAATGGCAATTATATCCAGAAAGATTATGAAATATAATAGGAATGAAATGACATTTTCTATTGTTTAAATTACATGAATTATGAGCTGGACCTCTGTATTTACCTGTGAAATGGTCATGATCATATACTTTGTAATCAGAAGAACAAAACTTTTTTTTACAAATATAACACACTTCTGTTCTATTAAAAGAGCTCTGCTCTTCACTATTAAGCGGATTCATGTCTTTTGAAATATTTAAAATTTTATATAATCTTTCTACATCCTTATAAATTGAATTTACAATTTTTTTTTTGAGCAATTAGGCCCTCAATAAAAAACAAAGTCATTCAATTCGGGATTGGATTCACAGAATACATAATAAGCAAAACAAGTAGCTTCATGAATCTGAACATTTTGTACATGTCGACTTTTATTTTTGTCAGAATATTCTCTAAGTAAACTTTCAAA